GCTACTGGCCTGGCCTGGTTAGCCTGTACTGTTCTTGTTTTGACAGGTTATGACATGTCATGCATGAAAGCTATTGCATCAGCAAAAATGGCAGTGTGATAATATCGGTGTGTAAAGACTTTACTAGGGTGGCCATGGAGGTATATCACAATTAGTAGTTTTTTCATCTGTTTAACATAATAATGCCATCTGCATTTTATTTACTAATGAGCAGTTTCCTTGCTTCTGTTCCGAAGGGACAACCACCTCTAACCAGCAAGCCCTGGCCCTTCCTGTCTAGTTTCTTTATCAACAGGCAGACAGATGGTGGTGGTAGTTCCTCTTCTTCTCTGGATATTCGCTGTGAGCTTCACGAGTAGTGTAAAGTGTGTCAAATTTATTATGGAAAGCCTGTTGTGAACCTTAGTGCTTGGTACATGTTTGGTTGTTACAGAGCTCTCCCATAAGGTTCTGCCCAGAATCTAGTGAGTGATAAAGTCTCAGGTACCACTTAACAAGCAGCCTGCTTTGTGCTGTCCTCCAGATAAGAACACTATTGTCAAGCAGCCCGATGGTACTCGGGAGTCATGGAGACAAAGAAATTTGTGTCAAACTTTTTGAACTCTAAAATAGTGGAGATGAAAATGGATAGACTAAAAAAAAATCTTCAATGCTTTGCAGCTACATGCTAGTCACTGTTAACCAGAAAATTCTGTTTGTTGTTACTGGAAACTAAACTCTTTCTCTTCTTATTCACACTATAACCAGGGTTTGCCTCTTATTTGTATTTAATTTTATTTAACTTAATAACAGTACAGTACTCTGTTTTTGGTAACCATTGTCCCTGATGTAAATATGTAAAAATTGTGTACGTTTCTGTTCTGTGTCTTGTGTACTGTTTGTTTGTATTTGTCTTTCTTGCTGCTGTTACACCCAAATTTCCCCTTGTGGGACAATGATAGGATTATTCTATTCTATTCTATTCTTTTCTGTTTGTACTGCACTTCCTGTAAACATTTGTAGAACCAGGAAACTTATCAGGTTACAGACAAGCTAACTCGCTGTAACGTAAAGGTTTACCTCCTACTTCTGAAACAGCTGGACTCAGTTTCTTAGACGTTCTCATCAAAATTAACAGTATAGGAAGCCTACGTTCAGATGCGATTTTGGTTTTGAATCCAGTCCATCCCTGATTTATCTACTGAGATCAGGACAACTGTTTGGCAGTTATTAAATGTTTCTATTACATTTCGGAATAAGGATGTGAGTACCAAGAAGCACTTCTAGACTGTCGTAGTTTGCCATCATTATACTGTAGCCCTACATTTAAGCACGTAGGTTGATGTTGATGATGGTGCATTGTGTTGCAGGT